GAGAGGGAGAGAGAGAGGGAGAGAGAGGGAGAGGGAGAGGGAGAGAGAGGGAGAGGGAGAGAGAGAGGGTAAGAGGAAGAGAGAGGAAGAGAGAGGGAGAGAGAGGAAGAGAGAGGAAGAGAGAGGAAGAGAGAGGAAGAGAGAGGGATAGAGGGAAAGAGAGTGTGTTAGAGAGAGAGGTAGAGGGTGGGGGAAGGTGCAGTGTAAAACGGAGAGGAACAGAGAGGAGTGGAGGACGAGAGGAGCGAGAGCTCGAGAGTAGCGGTAGCGAGTCCGCCCGCGGTACGGGCCCGCCCCAATAAGCCTCTCCCTCACACAACCCTGGGCACGCCACTGGAGACGCCGCCTGGACACGAACAGGCCTGCAGACTCCAGGTGACTCCAGGGTCCCGGCGGCGGTCCGGCGGCCCAGCAGCAGCAGCAGCCCTGATCCAGCAGCGCAGAGGGAGATCGAGAACAGGATGCTGCTGGGAGGAAATAAAAAGTGGCCCAGTGTTTCCGGCGAGTCACCTGCCCTGCTGGGAACATCACCGCCGCCGCGTACCACTCCTGTACGAGGGATCGCGTCCGCGCGGTCACACTTACTCCTGCTTCACTCCCACCTCTGGCTCGTCACCGACCACACATCAACCGCGAAACATCCTATACCCCAAAACCCTAGTGATCGGCATAATTTAAGCACTCATTTTTCTGAGGAGTATATACCACCTTGTTCGGAAGGAGGGCCCTCGAAATACAGGGAAGGGAGGGAGAACTCGTTATACACGCCTTTCTGCCCCAAAATATACGCGGTCCGCTCTCATGTCAGCACCTCATAACATTACGACTTTTCGACCGTGGCCAATCCATATGCCTTGGCGGAGCAGCACACAGTATACCCCCTGCGCCTCTACGTCACTAGACTACGCACATAGTTTCACAATTTCCCTATTCATGCTGAGAGCACGGCTGAGCACGGCTGAGCACGGCTGAGCGCGACGCAGCACGGCGCACGGCAGCGGCTGATCATATCAAGGCGAAACAAGACGAAGGCGTTTTGAGGCAGGACCGGCCGTTTCCAGCCCAGGCCTGGTCGGTTTATATTCTCAAGGCCGGGCGCGGCCGCCGCCGAGTTTCCAGGTTTTCGTGTCCATCCGATGCCGTCCCATTCCCTGCAGGCGGGCCCCGCGGGTCAGCCAAGGAGACTCACTAACTGACTGACTGACCGGGCAGGGCAGGGCTTGTTGACTACTTGATGACAGCGTTCGAGATGCTATGGGGGATACCAACATGTTGCAAACTATTATGTCCATGAGCAGCAGAGCTATGTGGCAGTGTCGACGTTTGGGCGCGCTGAGTCTGCATTTTTATTTCCCCCCACAATCTGACAAGAGAGCTGCCAAAAGCGAAGCCGCCATGAGCAGCGCAGACGCACATACACACTCTTGATTGGCATCGGCGAGCTGTGCAGATCAGTCAGCGCAAAAGGCGCGCACAGGCTTGGCTTTCCATACACACAGTTCAGCCAGAGACGAGGTCCATCAGCGAGCACTCTGCAGAACAACCAACAACTCTCCAGCAGTGGCTGCAGCTGGTGACCTCCTGTGTCCCTGCAGGTTCATCGGTCTCCCTGTCGCTCTCCATGACGGCGCCGTCTTGGTGTGTGTTTGAGTAGGGGGAGCTGACCCCCCCCCCTTTCTAAGCCCCCCTGCACTCTAGTGGCCACGCTGATAAAGCGCAAAAACAGATTCCGCCGTCCCGCGCGCCAATCAGCATCGAGCCGTGTGATGCGTGATAACGTATGAGTCTGTCAGAGCGGCCGGCTCAGCGCTCTCCGCGTTTTAAGACTTGATAATTTGATAATTGAGTCGAATCTTTTGAGCTCTGCTTGCGCCCATGAAACTCGGACCGCCGCCGCCGCTGCAGCCACTACCGCACGCGAAGCTGAGCCTTTTTGAGACAAAACCGGTTTCCTGCGCCACTGGCCGGGCCCCTAGTTTACTCGGCCGTCCAGCCTTATCAGATCTGGCTGATGGATTCCCGTCTCATTTCCTCGTCTATGCGAAGCTGGCCTCGCGCAACCCTGACAAGGGCTAAGGGCTGGAACGACCTTATGGGTCACTGTGTTCACCTCGCCTCTCTCTTAGACCGCTCTCCGCGGTGATATCAGAGCCAGCAGAGTGGAAGAGATGGAGAGGGAGAAAAAGAGAGAGAGAGAGAGAGAGAGAGAGAGAGCAGTTTTTAATTTGAGGAGAAAAAGGATGGGTGAACTGCTGGGCTTTCGGCAGCCGGTATATCGCCGCCAGCGCCGCGGGCGCTTTTGAAGGGTCAGTGCATATTTTCATAATTAACGAGCTCCAAACATGCGCTACAGGAAGGACTCCGAACCCGCGGTCAGCAGAGTGCTAAGTGCACCAGTACCCGTGAGTTCGCCGTAGCCTAGTGGTCAAGGATGCGGCGCAGCAACGTCCGAGGTTCGAGTTCAGGTAACAGCGAAGGTAAAAGAATTTGATTTAATGTGAGTCAATGTATCTGTTAAATGTGCACGTCCAGTTGGAAGGTGGGAGGTCTGGAACTGGAGAATTCGTCTCCGCTAATTACTTTGCCCAGGGTTTGCGTTTTTCCACGTCCATGTGCTTGGCAACCCCACACAACAAGCCCTGGGCAGGCAGAGTGTCTTTGCATGCCTACGGTGGTAAAATTGCAAGTTGGGCATGTGGAGTCTACCCAGGGCGCCGATGGGTGGGTAACTTTCATAGTCCCGTGGGCTTGTCGATCCACACTCCCACTGGACGGGAAATTTTGCTCACCCTGGGCTTGATGTGTGGGTTTGCCAAGCCCATTGTATAGTCTGAATCACCGAAAGAATGAACTCTACCTGGGTCCGGCCTCGCTGGCGGGGCCCCGACCCTCCTCCTCGACCCGACTCTGGTGTCACATGTGGTGCGCCCCCGCACAGCGGGGTGAGTGGCGTGGCGTAGCGGAACTAAAATGAGGCGCCTGACTGAAGCGTTTAAACTCGCCATTTGTGTTCAAAATTTCAGTCTGACTCACAAAATTAGAGTGGATTTGAAATTGTTGACCTAGAAAACCCCCGGGTTCAAAAAAAGTGGATGTCTGTGCGGTTATTTTGACGCTTGCTGAATTACGGTGATGGCTTTGAATCAAAGTAAATCCTCCTTGAACGGTCTCGCTAAAATAACCGTACAGACATCCACTTTTTTTGAACCCGGGGATTTTCTTGGTCAATAATTTCAAATCCACTTTCATTTTGTGAGTCAGACTGAAATTTTGAACACAAATGGCGAGTTTAAACGCTTCAGTCAGGCGCCTCATTTTGGTTCCGCTACGCCACGCCACGCACCCCGCTGTGCGGGGGCGCACCACATGTGACACTAGAGTCGGGTCGAGGAGGAGGGTCGGGGCCCCGCCAGCGAGGCCGGACCCAGGTAGAGTTCATTCTTTCGGTGATTCAGACTATAGGTAAAATCGCAAGTATTTTTTCATAGTGCATTTTAAGAACAAACTAGTCGTTGGTATGCTGAGCTATACGCGGGGAATCTAGGGCACCTTTAAAAATAACCTGCTAAATAAGTATTGAGCAACTGAAGTATGTCCATAATCTCCAGCCTTGAACCCTCACCTGGGAGATTCGTGCGCATGCTGCGTCTTTATTAACTTTTTCGGGTATAATAAAGTCGGCGCTAATCTATTACCCGGCGGCGCACGGTGAAGACAGAATCTTAAGACACTTCTTCCGTGAGAGCAAAGAGACGCACTTCTCACCTCACGCAACATTTAATTAAAAGTAAACTTTGAGGTAAACTTGCTCTTCCTCTTCTTATCTATCTTGCATGTTCTCCACCCCCCCCCCTCCTCCCCCCTCTCTCTCGCTCTTTCTTTCTCTCTTTCTCCACATGATGCATCATGTGACGTTCGAGTTTGAGCCAGATGTGAAATGGAGCGAAATGGCGAACCCTATTGACAGGCGCTCTGAGGCTGTGGGTCACCTGACCTTCACAAGGACGTCCAGCACGCGACCTAGGCCTCATCAAGTCCGACCCACCAGGCGGCTACCGATTAAAAGTATGAGATATTAGGATAAATTTGCATTGCGTGAGATTTCATACATGCCATACATGCCATGACAAGTCTTCTCCCGCGAAACGAAGAGTTTTTGTCAACGAAAGATTGAACAAGTCTCACCTTTATGCATCGAGTGGTTTCCCTGCGAGTCCACGGCGTTCATCTTGGCCTGCGGAATGAGGATGGCGACAAATTATTAGTTTATACTAATTGGAACAGTACTCGAAAAAGATTTTCAGCAACAAAAAGGTGCGACAGGTTTTTCTAGCAGCCTGCCCTGCCTGATCCTTCCGAATTGAGTGAGTAACGCAAGAGTTTGTAATTCACACGATCATAGAGAACAGTAGATGCTTACCTCATATCCTTGCTTGTTGATGATAGGTTGCCGGGGCCACGAGTAGTCCATATCCTTGCCATGGGGACCGCACTGCTGAAAGCACACAGAAACGAGCCAATTAATATACACCACAAAGCTCTTTGAATCGGAGTAAACAGCTGCTGCTGCGAGTGCAATTTGTTTTTCGTGCATTTCTCTCTCAAGCGCCCCAAAGTCAGCCAATAAAAACAACCTCAACACCTTCCCTACTCCTCACCACCTCTGATCAAATCAAATCACACCCTTTGAGCCTTAAACGCCAGGGACATATGTTGTTTATTTCCCCTCGCGATCAGTGATAAAAGAAATGGGGCGATAAATCGACAAACACCAAACAAACCGCTTCAAATAGAATTCCAGAAAAGGATGGAGGCAAAAAAAATCTGCATCGCAAAAAGAGCAAGCTGCGAAAAAAATAAGACGTGGGGGAGGCGCGCGCCTCATGTGAGGGCGAGGGCCAAGACCTACCCGAATAAAATAAAACTGGATGAAAACGACTTCATCTTTTTACGGCTACTAAAATATATCAAGCGCGAGAGCCCGGCGAATTCTACGGCCCTGGGCCGGTGTCGGTGGGGCCGGCGTACGCGCACAGAGGAGGGGCGGGACGGGGAGAGGAAGCACTGGAGAAGGCGGAGAGGGGAAGGGGCGGTGTGTGCCGGGCAGGGGGAGGGGAAGGGGGAGGCTGGCTGGAGAAGGGCGAGGGGGGAGGAGGGGTGCCGGGTAAAAAAATCAATAGATAGAAAAAATGCGATGTTTAAAGGGGGATAGGAGCAAAGGTTGGGGGAGGCAGAGGAGGCGGTGGAGGGGAGGGGTGGAGGCGCGTCGCCCGCGCATGCTCAAAAATGAATGACAACATAAAAAACCCAAAGGGAGGGGGGAGCAACAGAGACGGAGAGCGAGGCGGGCGAGGCGACGGAGAGAGAGCGAGTGAGATAGGGGGTGAGAAAGGGGAGGAAGAGGGGAGGAAACGAGACAGAAAGAGACGGAAAGAACGAAGCGAGAAAAAGAACGAGAGGAAAAGTGAGAGAGAGAGAGAGAGAGAGAGAGAGAGAGAGAGAGAGAGAGGCACATTGGGGGAGGAAGAGAGGTGCAGGAGATTGGGGGAGG